TCCAACAACACGCGATCAACAGGCGATCATGGGAAAAATGACAATGCATATATATTCATAGTTTGACCTTGAAGATGCCGGAAGTTCGCTAGCACATAAAAATACAGAGTTTTTTTGGAGGGGGGGGGTGGAGGATATTGATATCCCCAACATTCACCAGCATACTGCGCATCAGCGATTCAACAAGCCTCATTTGAGCTTCTTCAAACTGCTTCTGTTGTCGCTGTAAAATTAATTGGAGTTGTTCTCCCGAAATTGACATTGTGGGTTCGGGTGGTTGCCAATTATTGTGTCTTGATAGACGGTCGTGCGACTCTGATCGGTCCCCTTGGCCTCCTGCTCCTCCCACTATGGTATATCAGAAGGCACGGTAGCTCTACACAGCCCTTTATGCAGACAAAGGAAAACTATTACAACTGTATTTATAGGGTAGTCACAGATTCGTGCCAGAATCTCCGTGAGGGGGCGAGAAGCGTCGAGTCAAGGGTGTTTGACTCGGATTGACTGGCATTCTGACCAATCAGGGCATGCCTTCGTTTGGCCCGTGTCCTGCACGTGGTACATCCGTCAAAACGATGTGGTGTTCGGTTATTAGGGGCGGCTGGCCTCCGTACGGGGACTCAACTCATCAATCGTTAGTGACACTTCAAGACATCTTGGCCACGCGCTCGTTTGTCGAAGCCGTTGCCTTCAGTACGTAGCTGCCCACTTCCTCCCGTCAGAGTAGCTTACAACACGAACTAACTGATTACATCGTGGCCTCCAATGCTTAGCCGTATCTCCCACACTGTCCCATTTTCCGGTGACTGAAATTGCAGCCACCCTTTCATTGGTAAATGATACACACTAAACTGAACTGGACTGGACTCAACTGATCAACCATGAATAACACGATTACAAATGGCCTCATGCTTCATCGGCCGTTTCATGATGGCATCGGCCGGGTCGGCTTGCTCGTTGCGTACATCCCGGCAGGTGAAGAAAAAAACGGCTACTACTAAAGCCTTTCTTCTTTCTCTTTCACACATTCGTTCTTCCGCCATCCGCACTCAAGTTTTTTAACAAGACTCCGAAGCTAGTGGCATCTACTTAGACCCCTTCCTGAGAACCGGCAGGTTCGTTCACTAACCAGTGTTCCTTGACTGTAACAGTTACGATAGCTCTAATGCCCTCAAAGACATTTTCATCATGCTTCGAGCACTTCATTACTTCCGGCCAAGCATTCAGACATCGTTGTGATTGCTTGAAATATGTGTATGTAAGTAGACAAACTTAGCGAATCTGGAGCTCAACTGAATAGTCGTGTTGGACGACAACCGAGACGCACGAACAGCGGCGAATGCTTACCGCAGTTATGTGCCGACTACACACTGTTTCTATGCAGTACTTCCGGAACAACAGAAGCTCCCGCATGAAAGCTAACCTCCAACACAGATAGATCACACATCCGTTAGCTATATGTGGCGTGGATTCGTTGCGGAACATCTACACGCGGATTCGGATCTTGTTACGGCTCTCGTCACTTTTCTCGGAGAGGCATAAGCACACACCTCATCTGGCCATTGAGAAGCTCTTGGATCCTGGTGTGAAACAAGTCTACTAATACCGTCTACAGAAGTTCTTTCCGGATGAGGTGTCTTCTTATGTTGACTCTTACTAGAATGTACTGTCGACAAACCTGCAAGATGCTAAGTGCTCCGATTCTGAAGCCTCACAACCGACTAAATATAAGTACTGGTTCTTGAAGGCGGGATGGCCCAAGTGGTTAGATCGCGGATTTACTGATCGGAAGGTCTGTGATTGGAACCCGACCTCTGCCTCTCGAATTCCTCTGTCTAGGCTTGGGCAACCTGGCAGTATCCCAGCCCTCGTGCAACCTTTGGGTGGTACGGCAGTTAGGCACCGAAAGGGTGCTACAGCTGGACTGGAACTCGAGCGATGTCACAAAATTGCTCGGTGCTCGGATATGTATTTCTTCTGGTCGATAATACAATACCATCCAGCGAACTGTGAAAAATAGCATCTGCGCGGATCGAGTAACTTGTGTCCAGAAAGCTGAAATGATGGAGAAGTCAAGACAATCTGAGAATGTGTGCAACCTATTCCAGGTGATACGCGCAACAGTGAAAAGAGACCTCCAGTTAGTGAAAATATCACTGATAACAATGGTCCTCTCGTACTGAAAAAGAGGAACGTCCGAATCGTTGGGTTGAACACTTTCAACAACAAATCAACTAGCCACCTGCAGTTTCTATACGGGATTTCGGGCCCGTAACACACCCCTGAACAGTGAAGTTGGAACCTTGGACAGCTAATTAAGCCAATGCGTTTTCTTTCTCAAGCATCATCGAGCTGCTGGTCCTGAGCTTCCAGTTGCTCTGTTTAAAGACAACTGAGATCCCAGTCGAGTTATTTTGGTGATGAAGGTCTTAGCCAACTGAAAAGAGTCGCCCATTTTTCAAAGAGATGCTTAAGGTGACGGCGGTAGTCATAGAGGAATTGGCATAACCTTCGTTCTAACCAGACTATCTATAGCCCATTTTGCGTCTTTGAGTGCTGTCTTCCGTGCCCAATTTCGGGTGCCGGAAACCTAGAGGTCAACAGAATTAGACATTGCAGGAAGATGTTACGAAAATCGTGGACGCTGTTGGTGCTGTTCGCCTACCAGAATTGAGGTCACGTGACCCTCGTGTTTGGCTGGAGGCGCCGACCGATATGGCGGCTAACCGTTTTTAGTGTTAGTTCCTTTCCAGATTGCTTGACTAGGTGTTGGAGGTGTAGGCACCTCGGACTTGTGTTAGGCTAGCCCTAGGTCTTCCCTCCATGCCACATTTTTCTTCTCACTATAAGACTATTCAAATAAATTGACGTGGCTGCTCTGGTGCGTGTCGTCTGCTTGTCTGAGGTATCATGGACTCACCGACATGGTGATGCCACGCAAATAGGTGACGATTTTCTACCTATCCTTTTGCTCTTAACTATTAACCTGTTGTTTTTTGTTTAAAAAGCCCTCCTGTACATGTATCTTGCATTACCCGCTGCCATGAACGGCGCCGTCCCAAATGACCGTACATACATACACGGCTCACCTTAGTGAAACTGCGTTGAACTGAACTTGCACTCACAATGTTTAAGGTTATGCTCCTGGACAGGCAGTCTTCGAACACAATCCAAGGAGTGATACTCCAGGTTCTGGAACGTTTTACGTTCCTTGGAATTCGTATAAATCACAAATGTAGTGACAGATGAAACCAATGCTCGAGTCGCGTTTGCCAGTTTGAATAACTTTGGCGACAAAGCGGCATATCCCTAAGTCTCAAGGGATGCGTGTCAAGCTACGGTGTGACATATTTTGTGAGACGCGGACTTTGCTAGCAGTGGCGCTGATACATCATGCATGCTGTAGTCGTTGTCTCAGTGTCAACAAATTCGCAGCGAGGCAATTGGAAAATGATTGTTCGGTTGTGCAATAGGGACTTCAGTCGAAGAGTTTATCCAGCATCAAAAGCTGCAGTAGTCTGGTCACGTATTGCGCATATTGGAGCACCGTTTACGGGAAAGTACTCTTTCTGGTGCCCAGTCCAGAGTGACACAAGCAGGGGAACGTAAAGATAAAAAAGATAATTGTTCAGCTGTAACACTTTTTCGGTGTCTAGCTGCCATGCCAATCGGAGGAACCAAGAGGGCGGAGATACTGCCAGGTTACGCGATCCTAGACAGGGTAATTCGAGAGACAGAGGTCGGGTTCAAATCACACATTCTGATCAGCGAATTCGCGCTCTAACCACTGGGTCATCTCGCAGAGTAATTTATGGTGGGCTGACATCCATTTCTGCATTTGTCTGTCGCATCGGACTATGCTAATCAGTCCTTGTTCACAGTAGGTTTTTCAGATGCTGGCTGTATAACCAGGTAACCCTCCTAAGTCGGGTTTAAACTCGAGGGACTGAGCCATCAGCATACTCAACTAGTGACACATAGTTGCCAAGTCATACCGGAATAACAGCACGTCAGTTTACAGCCCTCATTACCCATAAGACAACCAAAACTATCTGTTGCCCTGTGTGTCTGTATTAGTTTGGTTTACTCGTCATTGGTCCCACAGTCTCACTTCTAACACCATTGCAGACCTAGTGCTGCGGAATATCCAGAGTGTCCAAACGGATCCTTTGTAGACATGTACACAAAGTAAAAATAAAGAGCATGACAACGGGACACTACAATACGATGCAATGTTCCACCCTTACGAAGTTAAGGTAAGTTTCCAAAAGTGACAACTCAGGGACTCAAACCAGGGTTTGAAGTGGTGAACCACGTTAGTATCCTACAGGTTCGGGCGTTGGTCCATCAGAGGACACCGAGGGTTGTCTACTACATCTGTTCTCGCCCAGGTATACATCTCTGTGTCACTTATGACCCAAATGGTCGGACAGGGAAGACGCTTTCCTTCGCCAACCTGTCACTTTCACGGTTAGAGTTCCTTCAATTTTGTATTATTTTTTGGGAAATACTTTCCGTTACTTTTTATCGCTTTTGCTTTTTCAGAAGGAGCTTCATCTACTACAGTTCTAGCAGTTTATTCAGGAATGTCAAAAGCTCGAAGAACTCGAAAATTTGCTGCACAGAAGCGAATGATCGCTTTGACGGACTCTAGAATGTAGATCTGGTTTTGGTAGCCTACTCCATCGCTAATCGCTACTTAGAAAAAAACAAGACCAACACAAGAAGCTTGTGAACCCTTTGAAAAAGAACGTTCAGCGCATTTCTATCAAGCACAACCCAGAAGTGTTCCCGCGGTTAAAGGATTCATACAACGAAGCATTGGGTCCTCCGTACCATATACTCTTGGATACAAACTACATTAACTTTTCCATCAAGAACCGTCTTGACCTGTTCCGATCGATAATGGACTGCTTGTTGGCCAAATGTGAGTTGTCTGTTTTCACAGAATTAATCCGTTTTAGGCTTCCTGTACGTCACCGACTGTGTGATGGGTGAAATCGAGAAAATGCCCGAACGCTATCGTGTCGCCCTAAAGTAGGTAGTAAATGCACTGGCACCAAATTATTTTCTCTAGGATTCTTCGTGATGAACGTATTCAGCGATTGACTTGTCAGCATCGCGGGACATACGCAGATGATTGTCTTGTTGAACGCTGCCAAGCTCGGTGTTATATTGTCGCGACATGTGACAAAGACCTGAAAAGAAGAATACGCAAGATAACCGGAGTTCCAATAATGTATATACGTGGACATCGTGTGACCATAGAGAAGATGCCAATGGCACTTGGTGCTCCGAAACTTTAGAAGCAACATCTTTGGCTTCATCTTGTAAATACTGATCTTTCACCATCTTTGCTTCTTTTGTCTGCAAACTTTGTGATGTAGCGAGGAGAAAAGTGTCGCCATGAAGTTTTCTCCATGAGCAAACGATACCGGTTCCTTTAGCCTTCGGAAAATCAAAAAGGCCTGCTTTCAAAGTACAACTTTGATTTATTGCGAAAAAAACAGAAAACGGCTTTTATGTATGGATTAGAGGCTCAGAAACTAAACTCCTTGGAAGGTCCGCATACCTGGTAATCAGTCAGCAATTTAGTCTTTGAGAATATAGAGCAATGTAAAAACGAAATAGCTTATCTCTACTGTTGCCCGTAAACTTTTCAGACACAATAGCGGTCGTTTGGATGAATCCATTTTTGTTGAGTATTCTAGTGTTTTACACCACAGCTGGTATGACGAACAGTTGTTTCTAATAAAGGATTTACGGGCAAATACAGTTATAATTGGAATACGAGGCTTAACTGCTTGCATAAAAACAGATTAGGCAATAGACATTACAGCAAAAGAAGGCGGTATTACCTGGTTCAATCGGAGCCAATTAAGAACTGTGGTTGGTTGGCCAAGGCAGGGTTAAGTCGTCACGGATGTTTTTGATGACACAAAGTTGCTTGATGTAGCCGAATCACGATCCTATTTGCTTTTGTGAGTACATTTTGCCTAACCTAATTAGAACCATTTATTTGCACTTGATGCATCACACCGATTGGTTCAGCCTAATGGACCCGGTAATTTGTGTCTTTTAGATGAGCGACAGTCTCGCCCGTCGAGTGTTTCGTTTTTCCGATTCCACTGCGTGAGGATGCGTACTCAGCCGTTTTTTAAGGTAGTTGTCAAATTACGCGACCGACATGGAGTGCGTAGCATTCACCAATGTATGAATGTATCGTCATGGAGGAGTCTTGGATTGGCATATTGTCCTTAACTTTTACGTTGATCAACCGATTTCATTCCATTCCAACATTGACAATGCAAACTCCTCCGAAGCCCCACACTTTAGGTTGCTTATTAACATTGTTCCGCCAGTTGCAATGGGGACCTGGGAGACGAACTGGTCTTATAGAAAGCGACGTTGAGCTGAAATTTGCCTTCCAAAACCCTTTAGTTACAGCAGAGAATTTGTGTGCCATTTTGTATTACAAAAAACCAAACGCTTACATGCCGCGCTTGAAACATACTTCCCTCTAAGCGTGGAACCAAATTTCACACGAGCTTGGGGATCCCAGACTTATTTTGAACAGCAGCCTCATATCCATAAGCTGCCCACCTAAACAGCAGTAGTACTGACCATTGTGTACACATAATAACCCTTCAAAGAGAGACCATTACTTTATGAGGAGTAAGTCTCCTACGCGGATGGCACACCGAATTTCGGCTTGTCTTTGGTAATACCTTTAATTGCGGTTTTTCATGTGGACGTGCCCAGGCAGCTCAGTTTCTTCGAGAAATCCGAGGATGAGCCCCATAATAGAATTCTTCTGTACATTGACCATGTCAGGCAAAGGCTAACCATATTAAGCCGTATGATGTTGCCGATCGGTCCATACATAGGATTTTGAGATTCGCTTGTTTGTCCAGGTGTGTGGCTTGGGCAGAATGCTGAGTAGAGTTGGACGACAACTATTTCGTGCTGGTGCTGCGGAGAGCGAATGATGTGCCAAAGAATCTTTTGGCGTCCGCCGGCGTCGCGTGGGAGCGCACCAACTTAGTGTGTTGGGACTGGGTGTTATAGAATACCTGTGGAAAACGAGTCGGACACGGTTCAGTTCAAATTTCTTTCCAGCTCACAAACCGTGTATCGGAATGTAATGTTTTATCTGTTACATCTTCGTTCACCAAGGATGAGGCGAACAGGGGAATGAAAGAGGCGTTAGAAGCGACGGCCCAATCAATTCATTAACATCAAATGGTACTGCTTTTCCGGTTTGACGGGGATGTTGATCTGCGCAGTGAAAGCGATTGCTTCGATCCAAGACTGCCTTCAGTTGCGTGACACAGCCATACCTGTCAGGCTTACTTGCCTTTCCCTTGGTCTCCATTCGGAGAGATTGCATTTACTAACGGGAGTGAGTTGACCGATATAATGTTTCATGTTTCGTTGGACAGGTCATGGAGTGACAGCCCGTGAGTCGTCACAGTCCGATACGAGGCTGCGCAAAAAGGGCTGTACGAGGCGCATGACCCAACCAGCGTAACCTATGGAGGATAAACTTCCCAGAAAACCAGCTGCCGTAATTAAGCACTACTGATCTGCTGTTCCCACCAGACTCGCGCATTGCTTCGGATGCACCTATGGTCAAACGCAGGAGCCTTTCATGCGCAGCGACTATATGTCTGATCCATAAAGTAGAACAGATCTATCCGCGGCATTACACACTCTACCTTTGACAGTGAAACCGATGTCTCGTCTGTGCCACACAGTTCGGTGGTTATCAAACGCCTCCCTTGCCGTTCCGATTCGGGGAGTTATTTCGTTTTCCACCAGACCGCCGGAACTTATACAGCTGCCCAGGTAGACGAACTTATCGTGACATCGACCAGTTCACCTTCAAGCCTAAGTTTTGGGTTTGATCCCATCCATTCTTGCAGCAGCACTTTGCACTTTACAGGTGCGAAGGCATCCCAAACTGCGCAGCTGAATTGCCTAGGTTATTTAAAATACGTCGGTTGCACTTTCAAAGGGTCTGATCCAAGAAGAGCAATATTGTCAACGTGCCCAATGTCCGTGGGCGAACACCCAGGCAGTGATTTGATCCCCGGCGTATTCGCAGTAGATAGAGAAGATTCAAGCAGCATATCGATTACGAATTTCTAGAGGAAGGGCGGCAGGAATCCTTACCTGGCACCACGATGTGGTGAACTCAGGAGAGAATTTGTCGTAGACACGTTCACGTCCACGAAATCACTCAGCTGCAGAACCCTTTCGGTACCTAACGCCATGCCACTGCCACCCGAAGGTTGCACGAGGGCTTGGATACTGCCAGGTTGTCCAAGCCTAGACAGAGGAAGTCGAGAGGTAGAGGTCGGGTTTGAATCACGGACGTTCCGATCAGTAAATTCGCGCTCTAACCACTGAGCCACTTCTCCCCCTCATCCACAACAATAATTCATAATGGACATCCTTCATGACCAGAAACCGCCCCAAATTTTGACGATCAACGGAATGAACATAGATTTGGCAGCGATAAATACGACCATTCGTTGTCGTCGGAAGAAGTCGTGCAGTTTCAACACTTTGAGACGCAAAGATCGATGGCATCCCAGCCAGGGCGAAACCAAGTTTGATTCTCCTGATGACGGATCAACCTACGCAGGATAATGTCAAAGAACGTCTTAGCAGCTATAGCCACTAGGTTGATGTGTTGGTGGTTTTCGCGTGGTGTTTTTGCACACCTTGAACATAGGAATCACCGTCGAGGTGCTCCATTTTTGGTGGCTTTTCCTCATTCTAGATAGACACATCCTTTCTTGGCATAATTATTTGCCAAGGAGTGCTGGAAGCACCAGACCGGAGTTTCGTTCTTACTAGAGCTCATCAGCATTAAAGATTCCAGGCCGAATCCTGGGTATCTGATTTCCGATGCGAACCCATTTACACAACTCCACTAGAAAATTCTACGATTTACGCAACCACCTATAACTAGTCAGATTTATCCGTGAAGTCCAAAGCGTTCGTGCCGCTGTCTGACTTGGAAGTCTACATAGGCAGATTAATCGGTTGGTTGCAAAAGCCAGCATCGTTGTCCTTCGGACAAATCATTCGCGTCGCTCAAATTTGAACGCGTGATAATTTAGCTGTGCTGATGTCAGATATGCGAGGTTCAAATGCAGAACGGTCAGGAATGTGCGCTGCTGTTGAGGTTTGATAAGAGCGAAACTCGAGTTCAGTGCTTCCCCTTGTTGATTTGAGTTGGAACCAGGACAGAAGAATGGCTGAGTCGCATCCGTGTATTTTTAGGCAACCGGATCTTCGACAGTGGTGGAGAGTAAGAAGAAACCACATGAAATTGGCGTTAGAGAGCGTCTCACATGAAAGCCCCATCATCTCAATAAATTGGTTGATTTTTAATATTTTTTTATCGCTCCGGCTTTCACCAGGACGGCCAACAATGCGATAACTCGTGAAAACCTCATTATAATCAATTGGTCAGGGAAAGCGATACGACATGGATTGAACCAAAAGAGTGATTAGCTTGGCAGTTTTCTGCTACTACCAGCGAGCATACCATAGAACTGGATGACCCCGATTCAGTTTTTTGTCCTGTTTAAACACAGCAGTTCCTGAACTAAGAAAATTATCCCTGTTTTCCTCCATCCGAACTTTTAGATTTACCCTGAAAATGGTAGATTTCTAGCAAGTGCGCTTCGTCTGACCACTAGCCTCGATAGCAGCTTTATGAGCTGATTGGAAAGTAAGGTTAGTCACCGTACACGTCGGGGATTTGACGAGGCTCCACTAACAGACACCCCGGTGGTGTTTTTACTAGTGTTCAGTTAAGTTCGACACCGTAATGGATATCATGCCAGGTGTCAGCCACTGGATTCAGCGTGCGTTATTTCGGTACAGTTTGAAAGAGCTGCTCTCGGCAAAAGTACTGCATGCGTCACATGACAAACTACGTTACAGTTTAAGTGTGCGTGAACTCCACTTGACAAAACCGGTTTAAAAACCTGTTCAAACTTTCCCTTCCACTGTTCGGCAGTCTACAGACAGCGGTTTCCCAAATGGCTCATATTCAGCAGCATTTTGCGATCAAAGCGATCTGGGCTAATGGATTTTACCCAGCCAGAAGGGGGGTTGGGTGCAACATGTTCTGACCTGCTATACTGCTTATTGGTTTATTAAAAAATCAGGTGCCGCACTACACGAGTTATGGGCCACAACCCTTGACTCCTTGTCAGTCGCCATTCGATGAAACAGTACTAAGGCTTTTGGTAGAATGTACCGTTGTCGAAGATCAAATAGC